CCCTACACACACACCCCGTCTGCCTGAGCACCAGACATCGTGCAGCCAGAAGAAGCCGAGCCGAGGAATGCTTTCACCAGGGTGTCGGTAGGGAATTCCCCCCCCCTTGTACCAATGTGTGGCCGTAGTTAGGGTCGATATAGGTGATTAGCACCCAAGAACTGTAAACCACCCAGAGACCCCTACGAGGGTTAGGGCAGTATATCAAGCCGAAGGATAAATAAAAATAAATAAATAAAATGTCAGCAATGCCCTTCTACTCCCTACATTGGTCAAACAGGCCAGTCCCTTCAACAAAGAATTAATGGACATCAGAAACCACAACGTTCAGAAACTAGTGGGGGAACATTTTAACCTTCCAGGACATTATGTTGCTGACCTAAAAGTAGCACTTATCTTACAAAGAAATTTCAAAGGGAGATTATTATTGTTGTTGTTGTTATTGTTATTATTATTTATTAGACTTGTTAATCGCCTCATCCTGACTTGTGCCAGGGTCTGGGCAATTTACAATATGGCGTTAGGCCTTAGATACAATATAAAAACATCAGATATCATAAAATTAATGACATTAAACCAATTTAATAACCAATTCCAAATTTAAGATAGCGTCAGTAGCAACTGGGCTTTTTTGGGGGTGGGGGATGGGGATGGGTGCCAGCCATGTTGAAAAACCATCGCTGTCCCTAACCAAAAGCCTGGCGGAATATCTCTGCCTTGCAGGGCCTGCAGAATTCTATAAGGTCCCGCAGGGCTCTGACTGTAGTAGGGAGAGAGTTCCACCAGGTTGGGACCAGAATTGAAAAGGCCCTGGCCTCGTCAGGGACAGCCAGACCTCCTTAGGGCTAGGGATCACCAGTAAGCTGTTATCTGCAGAGCATAACACTCTTCTGGGGACATGGTAGAGGAGATGGTCCTGTAGTTTTGTTGGTCCCAGACCGCTCAAGGCCTTGAAGGTTAATACTGAAGCCTTGAATTTGACTTGGTATTCCACTGGAAGCCAATACAGCTGGTGCAGCACCGGTTGAATATGTGCCATCCGTGATGTTTCTGTCAGGACTTGCGCCGCCGCATTCTGGATCAGCTGGAGCTTCTGGGTCAACCTCAAGGGTAGGCCAGTGTATAGTGAGTTAGTCTAATCTGGAGTTTAGAGAGACTGCTGAATTGCAACTGATAACGAAGCTCAAGACAACACGTCCACCTGGACTGAATTGAGGCCTAGGTTTCCTGTCTCATTACCAATGCTGATTTCTCCATGCCTACTGCCTCTCTGCATATCACACCTAATCCAATCACACCTTTTATTGTCATTTACCTGCTAATATCATTTTGCATCTGAAATCTCTCCACTTTCCAGTAAATAGGACAGAAGGACTTACATTCTAGCTGTATCTGAAGAAGTGAGCAGTGACTCATGAAAGCTCATATGTCAACACAAATGTTGTTAGTCTTTAAGGTGCTGCTAGACTCTTACTGTTTTCTGCTGCTACAGACAGACTAACATGGCTGCCCATCTCGATCTGTATTCAATTGATGATTTTTTTTTTAAAAAAAAATTAAAGCCCCCCCCCCGCCCCACGGTGGCTGGGGGAGAAATGGGCATTGTAGGGACATTGTCAGGGAAGATGGCTGCCATGTAAGTGAGAAAAATCCAAAATTTCCCTCCCACACAACTGTTCAGGCTTTAATGTAACCATCCTCCAAACTTAATGGCAAAGCAGGTTTGAGAAATATCAGATAAAAGCTGGAGAAATGCTGTAAGTGTGTGAATGAACCACAATGCTATGGGAAAGCCGGGGGGGGGGGGGGGGGTT